TATCACATGTACTGCTGTCTGGGCATAGGGACAGTTTTAGCCAATATGACAAAAAAGTGATTTTTAAAAACTTACAGACTTCAGCTTTAAAATGTATATGTTGTGTGCGCAGGTGTTTCTGCATGTTGGATGTATTTCCTCCCGCGGATGTAATTGCATCATTGCAATGATTGCAAAGCGCCTTGTTGCCATCTTTCTCTTCCTTAAAATGAAGCCAGCCTTTCGATCTCTTTAACCGCTTTTGTTTTACTCTTCTAGACTTACGCCTGGTCACGTCATACTTGCTTACTGAATGCCGTGTGCGTAACTTGCCTAAAAAACTTGACAGAAGCAGTGCTGCCCAGCGCTAGGCTCTGGTGCTGCCTGGAATTGTTAAGAGTATCGCTAAGCGAGCTGCCAAATGGTGCCATGGAATTGGAACACATTGAACTGGTTCTAAACAGGAACCGGTTTTCGATTCCCATCCTTACTTAAGGGTATACGAGTGGTAGGTTTGCAGTTTCGCCATGCCCTAAACCCAAACAGGGCTTTGTCGGGCATTGAATGGATAGGGTAATGTTTTATCTCATATACTATCTCCTGTTTTAAGCAACTATTTAAAACAGTTGTTTCTGCTGGATTTTATTTTGCTGAGTTAAGGTAAAGGGGGTTAAATATTGGTCTGTGTTTAATTTATTAAGAAAACAGTTTTTCTTGCACAACATTTCACAGTTATTAATGACTCAGTTAAAAATCAGTGTACCTCTAGATTGAAAAATGGTGGAAAAGTTTAAAGGTGTAATAACGTGCTGTTTTACTTATACATTTGCCGTCTCTCAATACATGTTAAATCACTTTCAGGAATTAAAGAAATTAAAATGAACCATACTTTCTTCTTGCAAGGTTACACACAAGAATTTGACTTTTGTTTAAAAATGTACATGAGAATATAGCATTAGCAACGCTGGTGGTTCACCATGGTTTGTTTACAACAGTTTCTTGATCTCTTACACAAAGCATGGAAAGTTACGCAAACAGCAGCAGTGACCAACTGCCTGCAGATGAGTCCCTGATTGTTGGAATGGCCCCTTTTTGGTGGCATAGAGATTTTCTAATGTTAGCACCCGTCAGTGAGTGATGAAAATTAAGGAGCACTAAAACTGTGCTCTGTGGAGAGCATGCTCTTATGAGCTTTTCTTGTTTAAACAAATAGCCCAAAAAAAGAAAATAAAAAGACCAATTTCACCCTACAGATTTTCCTATTGGTTTTTAATTGAAGCCAAACACACACACACACATGCATATATATATATATATATTTTAAAGCTTTTTTTATTATTATCGCGCTTTTTTTGTTTTTATTGCACTTTATCGCACGGATTCTAACTCAGGTCACCAGACCTAAGGCCTCGATACATGGGTTGCGTGTGCTTACCACTGCGCCACCAAAGCACGTCCAAAAAAACACATATTTTTACATAAAAAAGTCTGATTTACAATTAGTACTCTTTTAATACTTTAAACATGAAATTTACATGAGTATACCTCTAATATTAGCCCATTTTCGTTTGTTCCCATTACTATTATTATTCACTTTCAATTGAAAAAAAGTAATAAAAGATTCTCTTTGAACATGATGGTTGAAAAAATTAAGTGCTTGGTTATGCAGGAGCAATACAGACAACTCAGAAAGTATCTCCACATTGCAAGCTGCCATATAGTAATGAAGACAGTGCTTTATTAATTTTCCAATAAGATTTGATCTTATTTCAAAAGAGACACACACTATTTTCAATGTGGTGAAGTCAGCAGTGTCAGGGCTACCCTGCTCAGACACTGAGTGGCCAGCTCGGGGAAACAGAAGGAAAATGATACATAAAACATTTCTCCCTATGGCCCTCTGTTCATCTAAATCGATGTTCGGAGGTAGAAAAGCATGGATGTCTCTCACCTATAGCTTCTGAGATGAACCACACCTGGATAGATTTTGACAAGCATTTGAATAAACAAAGACAACTTCCTCTGATATCTTGTTAAAATAATCTAGGCATCTAATTGGTAAATCGTTATTATTACCATTTCTTATTTCTCTTCTCCATACAAGACTTTTAGGACAGCAGCATAATATATACACAGCACTGATATCCTTGTTCCTAGTCTTCCTGACTGTAGCACTCATTAATTATTTACATTAAAAATGGAGATGTCATGCTGTCTCACTTAAAGAGTAGTCTCTATAAACAGGGTTTTAATATTTCAAAACCAAGACAAGGTGATAACACCGTAAACATTTATACTCCAGTTCCCATTGTCCTGTTAAACTCTTGTTCTTTCATGCCCTATAGAGGCATAAATCAGGTCTGTTGGAGATCATAAGGCACTTTTTTTTTTACATCTCTTTGTTCTTATAGGTGTAATCTGTTGCTGAGTGTCTTAAATACCAATACATGGTGGTAAAGATCAGGGCTGCTCAGTCATTTGGTCACTATGTTCTGGTGGGTTTCCATTCATTCTAGCACATTTATATGTAAAAAAAATAAAAATAAAATCAGTCAGGGGCGAAGTGCCAACATTCCTCTTAACCTTATCTGGTCTGGAGGTTTTCATTCTTTTAAGTCATCAGCTGGAATTGTCAGAAAACTCAAAACTCAAAACCAAACGGAGGAATATGAAAATATAATCATGGGCTCCAAACAGGTACACATCCATGTATGTGTGGAAACACATGCTCAGTGGTAACGGTAAATAATCCTGCATGCCCTCTGGTGATGAAACTTCTGTGACTAAAATATACAATCTCATGGTGTGGAAAACTCCAAGAAAAACACATCCACTCACACCCACACCCACTCACACACACACACACACACACACACACAGATGCGCAGATTATTATGGTCTTCGGATTGTCTAAATACAAGCAGAAACCTGTTTGATGAGTTGGCTTTTCATCATATTTCATTTGTCAGCCTTAGACAGACCAGTTTAAACCGGAGTGGAGATTGGTAGGATCTGCTGTTCATTGTGTGTGTGGGTGTCCACCTGAAGTGAAGCGTCATGTAGCAATAAGCTGAAACCCTGTCTGTTCAGGGGGAGCGCTTATTACTGGCTGTGACCTCAAACCTTCATTTGGCTGCGCAGAATGGTGGAAAAAATGCTCTGGGCTTAAGCATCATATTACTGCTTGTAGTAGTTTAATTCACTAATTGTTTGTTTGCTGCATTAGTGAAATCTAACTGAAAAACGCAGTTGATTAACATCCTTTTTTTGGGGTCAGGGAAAGGGTCATGGTGTCAGCAGGCTCCTGCAGAGCTTCACGGCGGATGAAGGTTTCCGTTTGGATGAGGAGAGCAGCTTCTCTGAGGAAGAAGAGGAGGACGAGGAGGAGAGGATGGAGGAGCAGCCATTGTCCCACCTCCCCCCCAACATGCCCTCCAGAATACCAAGTGAGCATAAACACCCAGCCCCGTATCTGCCACGCTTGTCCCTGCCCCTGATGTCATGTTCAATTAATCAGCTCGGTCAGAAATGATGTCTTTGTTTCCTTTTATCTTCACCATCAATCTTTCTACTTTCACATCTCCTGTGTGCAGCTCTGCCAAACTGCGTGCTGAGTAAAGAGATGCTGGTAGATGGCCTGAAGATCCTAATCTCTAAGGAGGACGAGCTTCTCTATGCCGCCTCTGTTCAAACCCTGGACCTGCCTGACATGTAGGAGCCTATTCTGCTCTCTTTGGCCATAGAAACACCTGAAATACTTCTGGGATTTTCATTGATTTCTTGTTTGAAACATTGATGTTTGGAAAAATAATGAATTGAGCTCATTTGGGTGGCTTAGTCTAAAACGTAGTCATCTGGCTGCATAAAGGGCGATCAGAGCAGGATGAACAGGAGGTTTAAAAGACTTCAAAGCCAAGAATCAGAGCAACATCTGCTAACACATCTGTTTACAAAAAAAAGTACCTGCCTGCAAATCATGAAACTCACAAGCCACCCCACAGATTCACCTTTTAAAGATAAATACAGATTCAGTTGACAGTTTGTTATATAATTTTGCATAATTTCCCTTTAATTTTCTCAGATTCAGTGTTGTCATTGAAGGGGAACGAGGAAATCGCCCAAGAATCTACTCACTGGAGCAGCTACTCCAGGAAGCTGTAAGTTAAGCCACATCTGATCTTCTAGAAGATGGATTTTTTGTGTGAAATCTTTGTGACTATTTGCTTCCAGGTGTTAGATGTGCGACCCCAGACTGAGGTTATCCTAACCGAGGGAACGCGGGTTTGTGCTTACTGGAGCGAGCGCTCTCGCTGCCTTTACCCTGGTTATGTCCACCGGGGTGAGTTGCATCAGCAAACAACAACACTCTATTTCCACACGCTCAGTCTGTCCTGAAAACTCATTCCTCTGTGTCACATTTCAGGAGGACCGGGTGAGGAGGAGAAGGAGGGGAGTGTGATGGTGGAGTTTGACGATGGAGACAGAGGAAGGATCTCCCTTGCAAACATCAGACTTCTTCCCCCCGGATATCAAATCCGCTGTAAGTATGGCTGGACCATCAATATAGAATCTTCTGTATTTATTGGCACCAAGTTTTCAAGTAATCTTACTTTTTTCAAGTAGCATGCTTAAATGCTTCTTATTTTCTAAAAATGTACCTTTATTTGAGTGCATTTGTCAATCCAGAATAAAATCCCACTTAAGAAATACTTTTACATGAAATCTTGTGCACCACTGATTACTCAGTGTCCCTGTTTATTCATTTTTTCTTTTCATAGAGCACCTAGTTTAATTTAAATGTATTTCTTTTTTTGACATGGACAGCGTACATGCTATTTTTCATCTGTTGTCCCTGGACAGATCTTTTTTCGACATAAAAAACCCCACAGCAGTAAGCATACTAGTGATTCTCTTTAATAAGGGGTGAGCATAGAGTGAGACATATTTGACCATTCCTCTTTCTCTCATAAGACGTATCCTCCACTTTGGAATTTGGGATTGTTGAAACAGGATATTATGCCGAAAACAAGTGGCTCTGGAGTGCTGGACTTGGTTGAAAACTTTGATAGAAAGTTTTTAAAGCTCTCTTCTCTTTTATCTCAAACCTTTCTTCAGAATTTAGTGAAGGTTTTCAATCTGGTGATCATTACTTAGTTAATTTGGCCATGATATTGTCAAAACTCCCAATGATTTCAATTTGTTTATGTTTTCTGGAGGAGGTCACCAGATCTCCATTTAAAATATGCTGTTTCATCATGTGACCCTCAGGTAAGGCAGGAGGGCCTGGAAGTCTCTAATTAACCACTCATGCATTTGGAGTTTGTCTTACTGAAAGTTTTAGTTTTCATCTGATGAAAGGACACATTTCTAGTTAAAGTTCTGGTCGAGTTTAGCAATCACCTCAGGTCGCTGTTTGAGATAATAGGACAAAAAAAAAAAAAA